GAGAGAGAGAGAGAGAGAGAGAGAGAGAGAGAGAGAGAACTGGCCCATGACCTTTCTAAAAGACATGGATAGAACTTAATTTTTACTTTAGAATGAAAAGTCAAATCAAACCAATTACTCCCTGTCATCACTATGGATGCTACAGCGGTGGAAACTGAGCAGATTTGCTACATTAAAAAGCATGAAAGAATTTTATTATATAAAACTATTCTGTTCCTTTTCCATTTATTCTTACAGTCATACATCTGAAAAGCTCTCTAACAGGTCACCTTGACCATGGCCCAACCAAGCTCAATGTGAAGAGCTAGGAGATAATTAGCTGATAAACCACCAACAAAAGTATTCTTTTTAAATGTAAAAAGAAACTGTTCCAAATAAATCATTGATTTTTTTTTATTTTAGTTGTCTTATGTTAAGCAGAATCATATTTCCTTTTAATTTTTTTTACAAGCTTCAAAGACAACCTGATTTCACTCTCATTGATTGTGACTTTGTGGACATGGGAACAAAAAAGAACAACTTTGGAGAAACTGAGTACAACATTTCTTCATATCACCTTAAGAATCACTAACCAAATGTTTTATCTTCAGATGGAAGCTTCTGGAATGGCCTAGAAGAACAAAAGAAGCAGAAACTTAGGTCTAGATTTAGTAAGTAGGGTTTTAATCAAACTGAAACTATAGCATGCACTATGTGTTTGAGAGATAAAGTAAATTTTACCTCTCTTTGAGGTCAACTACAGTCCTGAACTTTTCTGACTTTAGACTACAAATCATAGTTAATGCAAACATAGTCTTGGTCTGGAAATTTATATTCTTTATGGATAAACTAATATCCATGAAACCTGAAAAGGACAAGTGTTGAACTATTTCTACATATACAAAAGAGCTAATAGAGGAAAAATATTTTCCCAGGTTTTCATCCCCAGATATCTGTAGGAAAGTAGTTTCAGACATCTCCTCTAGTGCTTCTTTCTCCACTACACACACACTCACACACACATACACACAAACATACACAGAGAGAGAGGGAGGAGGGAGGGCGGGAGAAACAGAAACAGAGACAGACTGAGAGACTCAAATCCACCCAGGTCATATTTGCATATAATCTACATATATCCTCTCCTATTTTAAATCATTTCCAGACTATTTAAAACACATTATAAATACTATGAAATTAGTTGTTTCGGTGTTTTATTTAGGGAATTATGAAGGGAATGATGCTTGTGTATATTCACTACAAATGCAATTTAAAAAAATCATAATCATTAAGTATATATGGAAGTTTCCATATAGAATGGTGGCTAAAAGTCTGTAAAAGTGCAGCAATACTGACATAAATTACTATAACCATTATACTCTGTAACTAAACAACAGATATGGGATTAACTAGCAGTTGCTGCTGAAGCATTAGTTAGAATGTTGATGGGTAACTTTGTGCTCCCTGGTACCGTCAGAACTCCCTGAGCAATGTTACCAGGGCAAAAATAGAGACAAACAGACAGGAATTGTAATGCAATGCAAAAGGAAGTACTCAGTCACTAAAAACATACAGAAATATACACAGGGATGTGTGTGTGTGTCTATGTGTGTGTGTGTGTGTGTGTGTGTGTGTGTGTGTGTGAGAGAGAGAGAGAGAGAGAGAGAGAGAGAGAGAGAGAGAGAGAGTATGTGAAACTAGAATCTGTCACATCTTGAAATTTAACTAAATTTTTTTTAATGGTGTATTAAAATATTACAAGGACTCAACCAGCGAAATTCAAAGACTTGGCATATATAAATCAGTGTCTACAAGAAATAAGTGGAGGTAAATATATAAAGAGATATAGTGGTATTTACATGAACCATAGTGTTGTACCTATTTGGACTCTGATTAAACTGAGTCATTTCTGAAAAAGGTACTTGAACCTACTAGTGAACTTTTTACATTCACTTTATATGTAGTGATGTTTTGCGGTTTTTCTTGTTTGTGTTCTGATGAAGCAGAGTTATTGTGATTACATTTTTAAATAATAGCTCTTATTTTATAACTTCATATTGAAGCATGAAATTATATGTATGAGTTCTGCTTTATAAAAACACCCAGTATGGATAGGAATCGGAGACTAAAATGAGTAGAGATAAAACAATATTGATGCTTGTTCAGGCTTGAAAATGTGAATTCATCTTTGCTATTTCTTCTGTGACAAAGGATAGTAACATGATGATGTAGCAAGTAGATTGATTCACTTGTGTGGAAAAACATCCATATCCTGTGCACACCACCAACATGGTTGCAGCTTGTTTAGCACTGTTGATAATCCTTAAAGCTAAGTTTATCCTTTTCTGTACACCCCGGGGTTAAAGCAAAACGAATTATAGAAGTTTCTTTTCAAATGCTAGTACAATAGTGACATGGAGTTTGTGATTAACCGCCCAGTCTCTGACTTGAGTTAAAGCCAGCTCCATGAGATGCGCTCCATGTGCTACACTGTTAGATTACAAAAATCTGAGACTAGGTAGGCCAGGTATCTAGAGTAAAACCAAATCCTACTATTCTACAGCAATAAAGTGACTCCTGGGAAAATTCTGCTGTACTGAAGGATCAGTTCAGGGAACGCTGTGGAAGAGGAAATATAAAGGGTACAAGAGCAGAAGGGATGGAGGACACCAAGGTAACATGGCCCTCTAAACCAACAGGATCCAAGAACAGACTGATGCACCATTCACAGCGCTCCATGGGATGTATACCAGATGGAGTTCTAGAGTTGAACAGAGAAGTACACACATGCCTCCACTACCAACCTAAAAGCTAATCTCCAATTGATAACCACTTGCAAATAAAAATTTACTTTTCTCCAAAGGAGTCTCACTGGGGAAAGAAACTACTTTCAATGGTCGGCTCATGCCCAGCAGCAGATGGCCAATAGCAAATGAACTCAAAGGCCTCTGTGGAGGTTCTTTACCTCACATGTTGTGATGGAGTGCTAAAAAATATTTGTATTTAGTTTTTAAATTTCATATATATATTCTTACCCTACAGATCCTTTGCATATATATTATGGCTTCTAGTTTAGTGTCTTTATGGGATTCCTGAGTGAAAAGAGTGGGTCTCTGCATCTGAATCTGTTTCTTGTGCCTTCTCTCGGGCTCCTTCCTTCCTTTTTGTTTGTTTTGTCCTATTATAATGTGTTAGTTGTTGTTTTATCTTATCATATTTTATTATCCCTTAGAAGCCTGTTTGTTTTCTCATGGGAATCAGAAAAGGGGTGGATCCGGTTAGAGGGAAGGTGAGGAAGGTCTGAGAGGAGCAGAGGAAAGGGAAACTATAATCAGGATGTATAATGTAAGAAAAACATATTTTCTCAATAAAAGTAGAAAGGAATTTCTTTCACTTCCTACAATTTTATGTATTTTGGTTCTAATCTATTTGTGTGGTGGTGTGTGTGTGTGTGTGTGTGTGTGTGTGTGTGTGTGTGTGTGTGACTGTATATGCGTGTATACATGTATGTATGTCTCTGTGTGTGTCTCAGTCTATATG